TTCTTTCTTTCTTTCTTTCTTTCTTTCTTTCTTTCTTTCTTTCTTTCTTTCTTTCTTCTTTAAGAGTGGCTGTAGTTGTTTGAAGAGAGCTGCAGGCTTAGGCAGGGACTGATAAGAGTAATCCAAAATGTTCAACTAGTTCTGATATGTCTTAATAGCTTTTTACAATTTAAAAAAAATTAATAGCTAAACGTATCTGCCACAGAATAAACTTCATCTTTGTCTGTTTTATATCCTTAGTATAGGATATAGGCCCTGCACTAACCCACTAGTCAAATAAAAATGTTTTAAACCTATTTTAAAGGCCATTAAACTTGCAGAGATAAAGAGGAGGGAGTTAATTATGGATATTTACAAACAATGAAATGGGACACCATATTCTTTCCATTCATTTTCTATACTAAAGCCTTAAAGATATTGCTAAAAGTAACTTAATTTATTTTAGCTGTAGGGATGTGTTTTAGAAATAAACTACAAGTATTTCATTTGGAATATAATTTGTGCTTACCTTGCCTCTGCATGTTTTGGGTCTTTGTTAATCACACTTGTGAAATCATTCATAGCTATAGCCCAACTTGATTTGTTAAAATAATATATTCCATGCTTCATACGCGCATCAGTTCTTTCAGGGTTATAGTAAAGGCACTACATTGATTTTAAAAATACATACAACACTTGATAATGTTTACTCTTGTTTTAATATTCATCTGAATTCTAAACAGTGCAAATAACATTCATTTTTAAAAGGTAATAAATCATTGCTTTTAATGGATCAGCTTCTAAGTTTTTTATTTGCTTTCTGACTGAAGCAGCAGTCTCTGTGATGCTCTAAACATTTTCCTGCCAGTAAATCCTTTTGTGCATTGTGATTTTTTAATTTCTGAACATAAACATATAAAATTGCACTATAACAATATTACAGTGCTGACAATTACAGTGCTTTTCAATAATTCACCTTGTTCTGAATACAAGCAGTCCCTGGGTTAAGAACGAGATCCGTTCCTAAGTCTGTCTTTAACTCAAATTTGCCTGTAAGTCGGAACTCGTACTTACAAACGGGTTGCCTATTACTTAAAACGGTGATGGCGTCTCCTTCCTCAAGCCAATGAACCCCTGAAGCCGCACAATGTTTTCATGAACTGCTGAAGCCGCACTTTTTTTAATATACAGCCTGTTTTCAGTGGTTTTCAGAGGTTCATGAAAACATTGTGTGACTTCAGTGGTTCATCGGCTCAAGGAAGGAGAACACCGTCTGCCATTTTTAGTAATAGGCAGCCTGTTTGTAAGTACAAGTTCCGTCTTACAGACAAATTTGAGTTAAAGACAGACTTAGGAACGGATCTCATTCTTAACCCAGGGACTGCCTGTATAACAAGAATAGATAAGCTGCAGCCTCAGAAGCCATTTGTGTGACTGCCTGCAGGGACTGAACTACCTCTTGTGGTCTCCAGCAGATGATGGCAGCCCATCACTCATTTGATCATTCACCGGCTAAGGAGTTCTATTGCAAGGAAGAAACTCCAGGGGCCAATTGATCAAGGAGCTACTTGGGAGAATAGGGAGGAGGCTGCTGAGTTCCTGAAAGTTACTGGAAGAAAATTGGAAGGTCCATTGCTTCCCTCACTATCAGAAGCTTCCTCAGAATTGCTAGTTTTTCACTATCATATAGGTATAGGAATAGGGACCCAGCAATCTAAAGTAGGTTTGCTGATATAAAGAGGGAAGTTTAATTGCTTCCTCTTTTCTTGCAGCAAACTTGATAAAAGTGGGTGGAGGTCTGGGTTTTACGCATGGGAAGGCAGAGTGTGGGTGACTGCCTTAATCTACCTGTGCAGCTCCTCCCCCCACACATACATATCTCAATGGAGCCCTCAGGTTTAGCATATATCAGGGTTCCCCAAAGTGGTCCATATCAACCAAGGGTCGATGGGACTATCCATTATTGTTGTTTTTGTTGTTGCTGTTTGTAGTACTATTAGTTAAGTAGCATTTATTAAATTATTTTCATGTAATAAACATTTGGGAGTCAATGAACAATCTGAAACTTCATGAAGAGGTTGATGAGCTGAAGAGTTTGGGGACTCCTGGCATATATACTTCTGAGAAAAATACGTTTCTGTGAGTATGTATGTCTACATACTTACACACATATACTGTATGCACATACATACACATACACACACTCTTTCACATCAAAGCATACATCAGGTTGTCCACATTCCTTTACCCTTGTTAGAAATGCATAATCCAGAGGACTTAATTTATGCTACACTTTTTGATGAACTTGACAATGTGGGTTTGCTTGCCTTACATTTGGCTTCTCCTTATGAGCTTCCACCTGCCTAATCTCCTGATGCTCCTGTTGTGGATCAAACTGATACAGCTCTATGATCCCATTTTCTATTTGCCCCCGATTTCTAGTCTAATGCATTCTAATGCAAATCCTTACAGTTTGAAATCAAGTGTAGAGGCTAAGAATGTGAGTTATGAAGGCTTGAGTTTACATCTAGTCTAAAACACAGGCCAACCTGTAATGTTTCCAGGTAGCAAGACTACCAGAATTTGACAGCAAATCACACTGCCCTTGAAAAGTGTTGCATCTGGCCATTTTTGTCAGCATATGTAAAGGGGATTCTGGGACAATATTAAAACCTGGAGGCATAGACAGGCTGCTGATTACCCAACTTTGTTTTTGTATAAGTTTCTACTGTTTTCCTTTAAACAGCAGACCATCATGCTGTAATATGAATTACATTAAAAATTACCTGAGTTTCAGAAATATTACATGACCACTGTTGAAAAAAATGCTCTTTTAATTAATTCTTTGGGTGCACTGATTTAGTCATCCAATTCTTTAAGTTCTAGTCAATATATTGTGAATTTAAATATAATAACGCTTACCTTTGTATAGTCTTCCATTGCCATTATTAAATCACCTTCTTCTTCATAGACTTCACCTCTCTTGTAATATATTTCATCATCCGTGGGTCTGCATCTCAGTGCCAGAGTGTAATTTATAATTGCCAAGTGATTATTTCCCTGTTTTTTATATATCTGAGCTGTTGATAGATACGCATCTACATGTTCAAAATAGGAGAAAAATATCTTAAATATTAATGGCATTTAATACCACTAATATGCATTTTTAAAAATGATTTCAATTTAACATAGTTAATTTTAATGCCAGACTTCACAGGCACTATTGATCTTACCTATGTCTGCCTTTATATGAATCTTCAAAACTTCTTTTTCACTAAATACTTCATGGATTTGTTATGAATGTTGATTGTTGATGTTTTAATACTTTTAAGTACAACATTTTCAAATTTGTATCAATTTTAGGAAACAGTTGCACTTTCCATGCAAGATGATTAATACAGAGAACTCAGTAGATAAAAACTGGCAAATTACTAGCTAATGGGCACTTCCAGGAAGAGTGTTAAATATATACAACAGAAAATCTATTAAAATTGTGTAAGTGTGTGTGTGTGTGTGTGTGTGTGTAATTGATTTCATAAAGTATAGGAAGCAGATCTGCATGCTCTCGTTTTTTAAAAATTGGTATCAATTTCTACCATATTTGAACAATAAATATAGCCATGGTTGAACTCAAATATTTATTTCATCACTAATGATTTTGCTAATTATATCTAATTTGACATTGAAATGACTGTTCACCTCAATAAATAATTTTGAATGTTGTCTTCTATTTATCTTATCTATGTCTGCCTTTATATGAACCTTCAAAACTTTTCTTTTTCACTAAATACTTCATGGATTTGTTAAGAATGTTGATTGTTAGATGTTTCTTACTATATTAGTTTTGACTTTAAGCTGCTTTGGGAAGGTGTCTTGCTTTACATATTAGATTATTAGTGTATTATATAAGAACATTGTATACCTTCTTCTTTAAAACACTGCTTATTGAAATACAAATTTAAATTACAGATTGTTGTTGTTGTTGTTTAGTCGTTAAGTCGTGTCCGACTCTTCGTGACCCCATGA